CAGCTAAAAAAAACCCTTGATTCAGTACCTTCAGTGCCAGAAATGCTGGCTACTTTATTTTCAGGACATTACTGAAGGTCCCAGACAACAGTTGCGGCACCACAGGGGTACCACAATATTGCAATGTGCGTATTTTTTGCTAAAGAGCGTGCACTCAAAATATCAACATGGCACAGTGGCATCCTAATCGATGTTTCTGAAGAGGCCCAAGTTCAGCTTGCAACAAATCTTCCAGCCTCACTAGAAGTCTCTACACTCCCAGGATTGCTCTGAGCCACCATTTCAGTATCTTATCAAAACAGAATAAAAAAAATCTAACATCTTACTTCACACAAAGAATCTTTCTTCTTCATTTGTAACACAGCATTTCCTGTATATTATCCAATATATCACTTACAGAATACTAAAGTACTTCGAAAGTTGACAAGCAGTTGCCTAGACATTTCAATTAAATATTTTAAATTTAGTTTATTTGTATGCTGCCTTTAAAGAAGCATTAAACTGGAAAGGGTTTCCCAATCCCAACACATTACAAACTGCGGTTTCCTAATATTGTTTGTCGCATTGAAAATAATATATGCTCAAAATGCATCAGCAATTTTGAAGTGATATATTCTAATCAAGTGGCTTATGGTAGCTAAATCGCTTATAACTTCAGTCTGCATATGGGGATATCCATTCAAAACTAACCAAGAGCTCTACTTTAGCAGCATAACTAGAGAAAAAAACAACATTGACCTATTTGAGACAATATCCTGCAGCACAGAAGCAGTTTGTAATATATCTTGTTTTGATTAAACCCATACAAAGCAGGCAGCATCTAGTTCAAAAACATTTGTACAAATTAATCTATTTCAAGAGTGAAGTAATTACTATGACAAGTTTTGATGTAATTAAAAAAATAGAAAATCAGTATACAAAAGGAGAACAAAAATGGAATCTCTTTTCTACAAACCTTCCCAACAGGAACATTTTTAACATCTTCCACAAATACAACTTCTCTAAGAGACCACTGTTCCTCATTCACCTTCTCTTCTTCTTTAGGAGCTGGTGTAGATCTTCGCCGTTCTTAGATAAGTACAAAGAATGAAAAAAATTAAAATGGGTTTGACTGTAGAAAATCTGCATAGAGCTGCAATACAACTTTTTCATTAAAAATGCTTTCATCTATTAGATTAATATTAATCTCAGCCTGAATCTATTCTTAATAGGATGGCTGCATTTGGACATAATGATAAACCAGAACTGCTGAGAATGTTGGCTTATTGTTTACAAGAGGCATAGACCTGACCCTTGATATTCACAGAGGTTCCATTTCAAATTAACAACCACAGATAAAGAAACCACAGATTAAAAAAAAAAAAAACTTTATACATGTGTAAAAGCTCACACCCCATTTTGCACATGTGTGAAATACCTCCCCCCAACGAAGTCCTCCAAGTGGAATAACATGCCAACAACTCTTTATTGCAGATAAAGAGGTCTCTATATTTACCAACCACAAATCTGCAAGACCATTGGTAATGAAACCATAGGCAACGAGGGCCATCTGTACATGCATGTGTTACTCAACTGCCACTGCTCAAATCTTCCCACCAGTGGAAACAATTAAAGTAATTAGAAACAACTGAAGAACAAAAGCTTCCTGTATAGCTAAGTGGTCTGACACTATCCTAATATTCTATAAGTCTGATGTGGAGTTCACACTGCTGGGGTGGATTAACCGGTGTCAAGATTGAACTGTAACAGGAAATGTTTACTTGTTAGATTAGCAATTCTCACTGGCTGGAGAATGTAGCATGAGCAATTGGGTTATGTGCTACCTATAAGCAACAGGCAGAATTAAGAGCAATTTCATCTTGATATTATATTCAAACATGGTCAATATAATGAAGTAAATATGAAAACATCAGTGATTAAAAGGAATTTTTAAAAAAGATAAATTGATCGAAAATGTCATTTCCCAAGTGACTGTATTAAGATTTTGAATATTCAGAAACTAATTATGGATAAATTATTACAGGTGGAAAATTAGTGACAATGCAATTTTCAACAATTTCTTTCCATGCAACTTACTATATGGCATTGATGCACTGCTTGCTATTGAAGATGCATCACTACAGGTAGAGGCTGGAGAAGGCGGTGGGCCCATTTCAGTTTTCACTGGTTCCTGCTTACTTTCAGGCCTAAGATTTTAAGGAAGAAGTAATTTATGTAGTTTGAGTCACTTAGGCTTAGAATTCATATGTTTATTCTGGAATTGCCATTTCATTGTTTCTTATTACATTCATGCTGTTTCTAATTTTGTTAATTTATATTTAAACTGCTTTCAAGTTAATTTATTATAAGAAATCTCTCTCTTATGGGATAGCACACAAAAGTCATAAATAAATAAATCTGCTTTCTCACAAATGCATTATAAAGATTGGTGAACACTTTGGATATAGCTACTCATTTTCTGGCATCTTCAGGTATAAGCATTTTTAATATAAACTTATTTTTAAAAACTGTTTAAAATGTACTCTTCCAATTAAAAGTATTGTCCTTAGAGTAAATTAGAACTAAAATAAAAATTCAAAAACCCTGAAAATTATGCATTATTAAGGTTGCCTACCTAATGGCTTCTCTCCATTATTTGCTATAGATTTCAGAAAAATATTTTAATAGTTTAAATTTACAGCTCTATATTATAATCAAACAGAATTGCATTTAGGTCAAAAATGTTAGAAGATTGAGATACATAATTCATTGCTTCTTAAATATATTTTTACTCATGACCAACTGTATTAAACAAGTTCCTCACAATGTTTTAAAGCACTTACTTTGCCTCTGTAGTCTTATTAGCTTTCTCCATGTTCTTTAAACTTTCTGGTGACCGGAGCTGAAATCTACAGCTATCATTCATATTCCAAACAGATTCCATTAAAACACCAACTTTAGGAATTCCAGCACTAATTGAAAAGGCCACTGCACCAGCATGATAGAGGGGATTGTTCCTCAAACATACCTGAAATAAAAAGAGATAATGAACTATTTATAGTAAATGAAGCATCAACAATCAGAATGAAAAACAGTATTTTATAGATAAAACAAATCTGATACTGAAATACACATGAATGTATAGGTGCAAAATACCCAGAACACAGTTTCCTAACAGTAAGACCATCAGTATGCTTAAAACTATAGCTAAAACAGTGATAAAGGAGAAAAGAAACGCAGGGAGACAAATATAATTTTATCAGGCACAACCCATACTATGGATACCTGAAATTCTGTCAGTTCAGAAAACAAGTGCTCCAACTTAAGAATTCCATCTACAGATATTGTTATTTCTAGCAGCTCACTAGTAGTAGTAAACATTTTTTTTAATCAAAATAATCTTGTACGTACCTGAGTACCAACAGTGATATTTGGCATTGAAGATATACCAGCACTAGACTTGGGCTTTTTATTTTTGGCTCTAGCCTTTTCCAGCATCTTCTTCCTTTGACTAAAAGGAACTACACCCCTAGGAAGAAAAACACTAATGTTAATATGAAATGAATGGCATATAAAGTAATAAACTAGTAAGTAACTAAACAAAAACAGAGACAATAAATGACAATAAATCATAAAATAGTTTTAAGATTTGAGAAGGTAATATCATATTAGGCAATTCCTAAAATTGTGATTCTTGCTTACAGTTAACATTCACTATTCGTCAAGAATATGTATTGTGAAACATATGGAAAATATGCCATTGGAGGCCAATATTAGAAAACTAGTCATGCAAGTTCCATTTCACATACAAAAAGAAGGCAGACAGAACATTTTTCCACCCAGTTTCATCTACCAATCTCTGTAGTATGTACAGCCAAGGACCCACTTATGATGTGGGTGAATAAGTTCCAGTCTCAAAATGGAGACCTATTACTGCACCAAATCTCTACTCCAAATGCAAGCCCCTTAAAAATAAACATTAACCATAATATTCTGGAAAGCAATAAACCCAGAATTCAAAGGATTGTACAAATATAAATGCTTATTCTGAACTCTGGTTTTAAACTGTTTGTAAGAAGAGTTTTAAAAAACTCTTATTAAAAGAGTTTTAATAAAAAGACAATATGGTTATTCAAAATGCTTAGAGCCATTTTTTAAAAAAAAAATATTTATAAGAAATGGAAAGGCAAAAGATGAGTAAAAATGCATTACCAAAATGTATATGTCATAAAAGCAAAAGATAATATCAGAAAGCAAGCTGAGGTTGGCAAGGAATACTAAGAACATTAAATAAGGAGCATATTTTAAATAAAGACAAAAATGCAATCTGACACTCAGTAAGGATGGAAAAATCTTAATGCTCAATGCCTATTTTATCTTCATCCTCTCCTAAAAGGAAAATAAAGTCTCATAGCAAAATGCACAACTGAGAAAGGAATCCATATTGCAAATAAAGAATGAAACAGAATTGTGTGCCAATCTTCAAAAGGAGAGATATGGGGAAAAATTCAGGAATATGGAATAGATTGATAGTAAAGTATGATATGGATCTTAGGTTTGCATTGCATTCACTGTACATTTAAAAATTTACTCATGTCCCTTTAGTTAGAAACATTAATATTATTAAGTGTCAGAACACTGTGGTCCTGTGATCCCTTCTGGCAGCCACAAGGGACCAACACAGAGGGTATGCCAACATCTTGAGCACCTTGGATGTTGTGAAGATTATCATCAAAAAAGATGTGGGGCTGGATCTTGGAGAGGATAGGACCTTTTGGAGCTCCA